TAATTCACACGGGGGACAGGCTACCCAAACAACTGCAGCCCCACCTCTTCCACGGGGTTAACCGCCCCATCGTGATACCCAAGGCCTCTTCGTCTGTACTGCAGGGACAGCGCTGTTTCCCTCTCCAGTTGTGAGAGGGACCACGAACGCAGCTGACAGCTGAGTCCTGTCTTTGAGGAGCATGACCATTCTACCTGCAACCACGTCTGCAGAATTCAGCTACTCATAACTTGGAGAACTGAGCCTGGATCACGGGGTTTTTTTGCTGCATAATCATAGCAAAGATGGCTTAAAATGGAAAAAAGCATTTATTATATACACAAGTACTTTTAATGAGGCCCCAAATTAATTTCAGAAATGTGCTGTCACATTTCGCAGATGCAAGACATTCTAAAATAGCTGAGACCAAACTTGAGCACATTACTGGCTTCATCTTAAAACACTGCATTTTGCTTATTCAAGAAATTAGATGATCCTCTTCTACTCAAAATTTTAGACCTCAAGACAGTATCATCATCTTGTTTTAGAGCTATAATATCCCATTACAAGTCACAATATTTTTAAGTTGGTTAGTACAGATCATGGTAGAAATTTAAAAGAGGAAATAACATTTCTTGAAGAAATCAATGCCTATTACAAGAGGATCACGTACATCACTATTAAATTAGACTACTTCTATCTTCCACCAAAAAAAAAAATCCTCCTTAATAATAGCATAAAAGTCCATCTGTTTTAGAAAAGCATACATAAAGTAACATCAGTACATTTTATTTCAAAATACTTTGTTGTCTCAACTCTCCAACAATACTCCAATACAGGTTAAGACTTGTTCATAAAGAGATCAATCACAGGCATGTAGCAAACATTAAAAAGGCAAAAGGCATGCCAAGTACAAATCCTCTTTTGAGATTTTTTTTTTTTTTATGTAAACTGGAAACAGTAGGCATGAAGCATCTGTACAGCAAACATAAAACAACTATGTAATTTTTCCCTTATTCATCTCAGGAGCTTTTGATCTTGCAACTGGAAAGTAACCTTCATGTTGCCATGCACGGGGGACACATGTATGGAGAATCTTAGGAGGAAGGCAGATTCTTAATACTTAAATCCACATGCCCCTCTAAGATCACTTCCATTTCCCTAGTGGCAGTAGCACGCTAATTAGAGGAACACTCAGTGACACTAATCAACACTGAACACACCAAAAGTGACAGTAACCCCTACTGTGTCCCAAAGTAATTTATGAAAAGGCCTCCCACATTCTTTAACTTGCTAAATACCAATCTTGTACATACTTTCACATAGTAAGAGGCACTACCGAGCCACTTTAAACAAAGGTATAACACATGGATCCTGTACCCTAGAGCCTCCCAGAAGGATTAAGGAAAAGATAATTGCTGACTGGAACTGAAGGTACATCTGTCTGTATGCATCTTTAGGGCAACCACGTACTGACTACAAGCAGGATGGCAGAACAGGACAAAATGCAGACCATTGCTTAATTATTATTTTTTAAATATTTAAGACTTAAGCTTCAACAACTCTTCACAATTTTAAGTTTTATAATGGCTTTAGATATATTTAAAATCTTAAATGCCAAGCTCTCAAGGAAGTTTAATTAGGATTTTTAAAGATACAGGAACAGAAATACCAATAGAGGTCCTGCAGTCCAAGTGAATCTAAGTTAATGAAAACAGACTTAAGATATAAACTTGTTTCCTAAGGTGGGTTTTTTTTCGTGGGGTTCCTTCCTCCCTCTCCAAAAAAGTTCACCAGAACAAAATGCTCTTCATTTAGGCTGTGCAAGAATGCAGTGCAGGAAGGTTTAAGCAAAGCCACTGAACCAATGAACAGTATGCACACACAATCTAGGCACTGTTCTTTCCAAAGGTTCTTTCACCTGAGAAAATCATTGCTAATCTGCCCGTAGCTGCACTCTTCACACTCATCTCTCAAACACAAGGTCAGATTTAGCAGACCACAGGTGAAGGTCAAGGGTCTGACAATTCACACAAGAGGAAGCAGGCAGCTTACAGACTTAAATTACTAAATCTCATCTTCTACAAATAAGGACTGCTACGACCATTTGGGAAGTGATGGTTTCATTGTTCATAGCTGCATTAAATAGATGTAGGCTCTGAACAGACAATTCAACGAATTTATTTATGCAACACCTTACTCCAGCGTATCAGCTAAGAGAACCAGCTACAACAGCCTAATGTAACTATGCACAGTAAGGCTGTGAATTTGAAACAGCAGTTCCTACATCCAATTGCAGCTCGTGGTTAAGCCTAGATATCGCTATGCAGCAGTCTTGGTTTGGAGATCTGATGTAAACTGCACAATATTCCAAGAAAAAGAAGCCACCTCTCTTTGCAGCCTGAGCTTGCCCAGTCTCAAGTCCTACTAGTGGGTTTTAAAAGTGTTTTCTATTATTAGCTCCCTTTTACTGCCTCGACAATTATGGGTCACATCCTTCACCATTTTTTAACCTATTTTGCAATAGATGGAAAGACCGAAACCTGCCTTCACTGTGAAAACAGGTTTTCATGGCAGTAATTTAAACAGTCCTTTCCCAAGTCTTTCATGTTTTTCAGCATTCTTGAAACATGGATATAAATTCCAAATAGGCTGAGCTTTGACAAAGAAATTTCAGCGTAAGATGATAAAACATGAAATTCTTGAAGCCCTTCCTCCGGAACACGAAAAAAGCCTGGGCTTCTAACAAGGCTAGTTACAGTCTTATCGAGACACTCTTCTAGTTTAAAACACTTCAAGGACAAAAATTTCTGCTTTCCTTCTGGAAAGATTGTTGCCACAACAAATCTCATCTACTTAGAACTTCAAATGTGTTACTTCTTATTCCCTCTCCTTTTAATTTTGCCCTTCAAAGGTCAAAACACAAGCAGCTCCACTAGAGCATAAAAACCAAGGCACCCATCAACTGCAAGGTTCCTCCTATCAGAAAGGACTTTTAAATGAGGAAGAAGAAAACAAAGGGTTTTCTTATTTATTCCAAGCAGAATGACTATGGAGAAATGACTCAAGCTTAGGTAGTAAAAGTTAATGGAATGCCATCTGAAATGACGACTGACTCAACAGCACATGAGACTTGCTAATCATTTGTTAATCTCCAATTCAAAAACCCACTAGAAGTACTCATGTAATACCAGTGAAATAGGATAAGATACTGCTTGGTTTTCCTCTTGGGCAGGAGAACAAGCTTCAAATGAGAGCATCAGTTTTTCTGGCATTTGATAAAATGAAAATCACTAAGTGCTATGTACCCCCGAAGGATTAATTCTTTTAGCATCTATGAATCAGGACTAGGTAAACTTGCAGTACAATGATTTTATTCTGCTAATGTGCAACACTTGCATAAGACTTATTCTTTGGATTTTTGTTCTGCGTGCTGGTATTTCATGTTTTGCTGCAGGCTTTCCCTCCTCTTCCTCCTGAACACACTATACCTTAACAGTATACAATCTTCTGGAACATCACTTTCCTGGAACAGTTAAGATCTGTAACACCAGGCAGAATTTGTGGAGACTGAGAGACTGGACACTGGATTCTTACAGGTGGAATTGTCTAGACCAGACAGAGAAAGAAAGTGTCATATGAATGCTCTATAATGCTCCCCTAATTGTTGTTAGTGCCATAAAGGTTCATATCTTAATTCAGAAATCTTAAGGGGGGGGGGGGGGGGGGGGGGGGGGGTTCAGG